ACCGTTCTGTCGTAGAAAACCCCGTTTATTTTGAAATATACAACAATATTCTATGCTTAACAAACATTTGCTGGTTATTTGTTTTGTCAGTTTATTTTTTATTTTTCATTAGCTAAGCAATAACATTCTGAATTATGTTAACAAAGGCCCGAAATAAGTCTTACCTACTCCGCTTCATAAAAAATAGTACACAAAGTCCGTTGTACTTTGATTTTTAAGAATATTGATTTGATTTCTATGAATAAGCTCTTAAAAGTATAATATTTTTTCCTGGTAAAGCTAACGAAAAAATGTTTAACACAGATACCTTTTGTTCAGCGACCGGAGAGTAAACTCCAAAAATAAAATTTCTGCAAATTACAAAAACCGAGATATACTTGTTTTGCTGAGCGATTCGGAGGATTTATTAAGTATTTTCTTTAAAAGCCTCGCTACGAAATCTCCGACCCGCATTTTTCGGTGTGGGTCGTATGTCGTCTGTAATATTGTGTGATATGTCATACATTCGTACCGGGTACTTTGTATGCTGTTTGAGTTGAGTATCGCAGCTTGGGTCTATCACGCTTATATGTTGTGCATTGTATTTGGATGCTGCAATATTCAAGATGTCTTTCGATTCGAATTTGTATACTCTTTCGAAGTTGAGGACTATTGTACCAATAGCATTCCTCTAGATACCGAAACTCTGAGTTGACTTTCAATATTTTTAAGATGGTATGTAGGTAATAATGATAGGTCCAGCTATTAGATATAAATTACCTATGTGTCTAAATTCTACTTTATGTTAAAGTTATTTAAATTCAATCTAAAATGATAACAATCTTTAGAGATTGTTCTATACAATATCTAGAATACCTTCAAACTAACATGGCAAATATACCAGCCGGAATTCAACGCGGCTACAGAAGGGTCGGACTATTTATAATATTTGAAAGGCTATGGAGCACGTCACATTGAAATATCACTTTCGTATCGACCATATTCTAAATATGAACCAGCAGGCTCATTCTAGTTTTGTAAAAAACTTTATTCCAGACCAGATAGGTTACGGTTAATGTGATAAATTGAAAATTATGAATAATCGCCGGTTATTATGAATAATTACCGCATGATTTGGTAAATGTGATTAATATGAGATCATTTATGTGTGTATAAACATTTATCACTTTGACCGTAACATATCCATTATTTTGTTAAATGCTTAGAGATGACGATGTATGTACGCTTGTCTCTTACAAAACTGAATATTATTAGGTATCCGGTAGGAAACTTTAAATAACAGCGACGATTCGTTACTGTGAAATATACCAACTGTTAGTACAAGATCTGCTGAAATATGGACTTTCTCAGAAAAAGTCAAATGCAACGCAAATCTAGCTTAGTAAAAGTCTAGTTACAGTTACTCTGAAGTTCAAACAAGAAATAATTCTGTTCCTTCTTGTTTTGTACCCCACAGGACCCCGCCGGAATCCCCTTTGATTTATCCCGTTATGTGACCAAATTTCTGGCCCACGCTTTGTGAACACCAAACTATGTTTACACTGAACTTACTCGTACCATGAAGTCGGTGAGCCGGCGACTCGTGAGTTTGTGTTGTATAAAATTTAAATAGAACTTTGAGCTGTAAACTTTGTCTTACAAAATGTTAGTTGAGTCTTTGACATGAGCTATTCGTGCTTTGACACGAAAATAATGCGGGGAAATGAAAATGATGAAGTTTTATGCAATGTCAATCATGTTGTTTGGAGATTTGGATTGATTTATGAATTTTATAGAAATCAACCCATGGACTGTATTGTCCTAGAGATGAAGATACCATTCAATAAGAGATGACCTCTTCAATGTAATAACTTTAAAGATTATACATCTATACTTATAATAAATCTGTAGAGAGGTCAATTCTGTACATGAAATATATTTTCAAAATAACTATCAGGGGGTGATTAGTGATCGATACTGATGCCAAAAATGCAATCAGTAAAATTTTTGTCTGTCTGTCTGTCTGTCTGTCTGTCTGTCTGTCTGTCTGTATGTTCCTTATAGAAACAAAAACTACTCGACGGATTTTAACGAAACTTGGTACAATTATTCTTCATACTCCTGGGCAGGTTATAGGATACTTAGGAATTCCCACGGGAACGGGAATTAGCGGGAAAATCCTTTTGTATGAAAAATCTAAACCGCTTAAGTTAGACGCTTGAAATTTGGCATGCAGGTACCTTAGTAAACTTAAAGCTTAGTTACAACAGGATATTGCAAAATTCCCACGGGAACGGGAGTTAGCAGGAAAAAACATTTGTATGAAAAAATCTAAACCGCGTAAGATAGACGCTTGAAATTTGGCATGCAGGTACCTTAGTAAACTTAAAGCTTAGTTACAACAGGATATTGCAAAATTCCCACGGGAACGGGAGTTAGCGGGAAAGAACATTTGTATGTAAAAATCTAAACCGCGTAAGATAGACTCTTGAAATTTGGCATGCAGGTATCTTAGTAAACTTAAAGCTTAGTTACAACAGGATATTGCAAAATTCCCACGGGAACGGGAGTTAGCGGGAAAGAACATTTGTATGTAAAAATCTAAACCGCGTAAGATAGACTCTTGAAATTTGGCATGCAGGTATCTTAGTAAACTTAAAGCTTAGTTACAACAGGATATTGCAAAATTCCCACGGGAACGGGAGTTAGCGGGAAAGAACATTTGTATGTAAAAATCTAAACCGCGTAAGATAGACTCTTGAAATTTGGCATGCAGGTATCTTAGTAAACTTAAAGCTTAGTTACAACAGGATATTGCAAAATTCCCACGGGAACGGGAGTTAGCGGGAAAGAACATTTGTATGTAAAAATCTAAACCGCGTAAGATAGACTCTTGAAATTTGGCATGCAGGTATCTTAGTAAACTTAAAGCTTAGTTACAACAGGATATTGCAAAATTCCCACGGGAACGGGAGTTAGCGGGAAAAAAAATTGTATGAAAAAATCTGAACCGCGTAAGATAGATGAAGGGGGGGTAAAACGAGATCCACGCGTACGAAGTCGCGGGCGGCCGCTAGTAATACATATAGTAACGTCGCAGAAATCAAATCAATGATGGATAATCTTTTCAAAATTTTTTCCTACAGTCAAATGATACTGTTCTCAATTATTTCTTGTCCTTCTCTAAGACAACACTCTACAATTTATGTATGTACCAGGTCGAAAGATCTAGATTTTCACTCTCTCTTTCATTTTCTCTACACTCTACATAATTCACAAATATTATAATAGTTTTTTTTAATAAAGCAGACCTACTTAAAAAGTTTAATTGGTTCACATCTCAAGTCAGTTCCAAATATTGAAATCGCTTTGATGAAAATTCCATCACTCCATTACGTCACAAAGAGGCTCATTGTTGTGTCTGGAATATTAACCTTCCAACAGAGCTACTAATTTGGTATTGATATGCTAAACAGCCCATGTAGACTTCTATATCCAATTTGTCAAATGGATTCTGAATTTTATTCCGTTTGCATTTAGTAATTGAAGTAAATGGCTGTTACTTAGTTAGACTTGTTTAAAATTTATTCCACGTTGAAATACTTCTTTAAAGATTTATAGGATTAGTTTCAATGTTTTTTAAGAATAGAAGTAATGAGATTTATTAGTATATGTATACTTCTCCTAAAATGAATTATTATTCTTTATTGAATCCTATCAATCATCATTACTAATGTAATGTTCTAAATAACGAAGACATTGAATTGTGTGAGTGATATAATATCACTTACTTTCGCAAATTGAAAAAAGGTTTTTCATATTCTGTTTTATCGTAGGTACACGTATACTCGTACGATTGCTTCCTTTTATAATAATGGCTAAGGGCCCAATCTTTTTCAATTGTTTTACTGTTATCTCGTTTGTGGACAGTCAATTGTTTAACCTCTTACCTACGGGAGGCACCTATAGTTGCCAAGTCAAAAGTCACTTCTCAATACGGGTGGCATCTATTGTTATTTTAGCAAAGCCAATACTAAATCACGGTTTACGACAAAAAAACAATAAAATTGCAAATTAAGTGTAAAATGCGCTTGTAATTATGAAACTACATTAGTTGCAAAATATAATATTTTAAGTTTCAATACCGCAAGCCTCATACTTTTTAAAATATCTTGATGTAAAGTGGAGCAAACAATTTTATAGGTTAAAATACCCCGTATTGAGAGGCGACTTTGGTTTCCAAGGGCCCCGTAGGTAAAGGGTTAAAACTGCAAGAGTATTGCGAATTCATGACCACTGTAAAACCGTGCCGTACCCACACAGAATCCGAAATTTAACCCAAAAATATTTTTGCACCGTTCCCGGTTCCTACCTCAGAGACACAGTACCAATTTTAGTAGCGCGTTGCCGGAACCGTACCTACGCTCCGTTCGGTTTTGGGTACGCTTCAAAATATTGTTTTCGCATAGAAATGTACATTTACTAAGAAATACTCGTATAATTGTAAAGTTGAAAGTCACTTCGTGGAACTGATTCTCGGTTAAAGCGTAAATTGGGGATATTTGTATTTTAAATACGTACCTAGTTTTAAAAAGATATCTTAAATGAGTTAATATTATGATATGCACCCTACATCCTGCAATTCTGAGTAGTATTTCGTTCTGAAGTGTGTACATAGGAATAACTTCCGATTATTTATAAAATAATTTCATTTTACACCATACTTATTGTTATTCAGCATATTGCTGGAGATGATCGATTTTCATGGTTGAAAAATAAAAATCGTTCTTCAAATTAAAAAAAAATAGAATTTCTATGGGTAGGAGAACCACTTAAGCTTCGACCACACCAACGCGTGCAGATAGCCATCGCCGGTGGGATCAAAGGCCAATGGCAGGTCGCGCGACCCATGACAGTTCACGCGACCTGTCATTTCAGTGTGGTTGAAGCTTTAATTCGGAATTAGATGACGCTGTTTAAAATATACGCTATGATTGATTGATTTATTTATTTGTCACCAGCATGCCTGGAGCCGTACGCCACGGAGACAGCAATGCGGGAGTGCCACGGAAAGAGGAGGTGTGTCCTCTCAGCAGACAGCAACATGTTCGGGAAGCCCTGCAGAGTCGGCAGCAGGACGTACCTGAAAGTCGTGTATACCTGTGGTAAGTACAATGCAATAGACATAAGCAAATGTTAAAAGCGTTAAACAACAGCCAGGTCAAAATACAATACATTCATGTAAAACTTGAAAAAAAAACAAAAAACGACGTCCTCAGATGGGAGAGGGCAGAGGATCATTAAGATGGAACATGAACAAAATTGCAAAGAAGGAAAAATCTATTAAAATAACTGCAAGGTGACTAGACCTATTCAAGATCTAGACCAATTTTTTCATAAGACTGAAAATTACTTTTCAAACTACGTGCCGGCTAAAAGTTAAAATAGAAACTTGTACACCAGTCGATAGTCAAGAATCCAGAAAATTCGTTTCTAAACTGCTTAATTCAAAACTTCTTCTATATCGCGTTAAAAGTTATTTGCTTTGAACTCCGTTCGAACTTAAAATCGTGTTATAAGAACTCTCCAAAGAAAAACTAAACGTTCCGCCATCTTGCCTTGTGTAGTCCGTTCCTTGTTTTTAAAACTTGTTTTTTGCCCACACTCGTAAAACAGTCGTAATTTTGTTTATTGGGTCGCTGATTCGCTAGAAGATAGAATATACCCCTCGACAATAAAACGGGGACTACACAAGTTTTACTTCATCCAAGGTCATGTGTTTTTATGGGGAAAATGATTTTATTAGATGGTAAGTTATGCGGGGTTATATTGACTAGAGATGATAAAGAGGAGTGGATATGGATTTATTGAATGTACCCTTGGAAACTGGGAATGAATTCGTTACATGGTTGTAGCGTGGCAACTTCTATAAGTTGTAAATTGTAATAGCATGGTAATTGGTAACTTCTATAAGTTGTAATGCTCTAACAGGAAAACTTGTTTGATTCTGAACGAAACTTGCTTGCATCTTTGTACAGTCGACAGCAGATCAGTTTTTTTTTTAATTATGGTATTTATAGCTTGACTGTACAATTTCAATCTGACCATGTAACCTAGTTAGGTACCATTTCTAAAATAAGCACACAAACCTAAAACATAAGTCTAGCTGGTAAGAATTTTATTCCATGTAAGTGGACTGCCGAATTTTACGCCTTGTGCTTTTATATCCTACACTTAAAAATAAAAATGCACATTCACGCCCATAATATCTTAACCCCCTTTATCTCTGGTCTAGACACACATTCTACTTACCGCTCCAAATATTTCATACTGTACGTACACCCGACACACCGTTCCGGGGCAACTCGTTGTCATTAATATTTATACCACCCGGCACCGGTCTCAAATCCGCATCCGATATTGCCCCAGCAAGATATTAAATGATTTGTAAGTAAATAACCCAATCCCGAATTTCATTATGACTTTTCAGCATTCCGCGTGATCCGAGTTTGAAACTGGGAGGCGAATGATAAATATTTCTGAACAGAGAAAATTCATGAAATTCACTATGGATACTGATCCTTTGAAGCAATTATTACGTCTATTTTGTTTGTAGATTTAAGCTTATGTAAAAAACAATTAAAACTTGATAAAAATAAAAACAAAACGAGATATTTTCGAAATGAGGATTGATTGTCGGATCTTGAGAGTAGGAAAGTACAGTTCTAAATACCGTGTGATAAGATAATTTTTAAAAGTTTTGTAATGACAAAGGATGCACTTTTTCAAAGCCTTATTTCTAAACCTAAAATCACAATCTTAATTCGGAAACCAATTTCCATCGATCATAATAACAAATGTTTCAAAATCATCACTTTCAGAAATGATTTTCATACAGAACAGGTAAAATCTTCCCCTGATTCGCACTTGACAGCGTTTTTATGTCCTCAAATGTAGGGGAAAGAGCGAGTTTTCATTACCATTTCCTATTGGTGATGTCCCCTGCCAATCAGTCAAAAAGTTTACCCCACTTTTTTCTTGTTTTTTATTATTTTGTTTTCGCTAAGTCGCTCGCCATCGCCTAATTTATTAGAGGCCGCTCGTTCAAAAATATTTTCCCCAAACTCAAATTCTTATGTTTGCGGTTCTGCTGTCGTAAAATTGTAAACAGTCTTTTGTTTCGTTTTCATTAAGCAACGGTTTGGATGGTATGTTTCTTAATCAAGACCGCGGGGTATTTTTGGCACGATTTTGATCGGTTTAGTTCTCGATAGAAATTCTAGCTCTTTTGCATTTTTCTTTAGCATAATCTTTATAACTTTTTTAATCAAGATGGATTCTTATTGATCAAGATGGATGTTTAATCAACTTCCAATGCATAGGATTTTGTCTATTAAGTAAGCAATTATCCCAATTTAAACTTTAATAAAATTCAACAAAAAGTATCTCAAAAGAGTTCTGAAAATAACCTTAAAAGAAGTCCCTCTACTTGTATCTGAATCAGAGATTTTACTTTTGATCTAAAGCCTGTCTCACATTCACAACTACAGTTTCAATTTAGTTAAAGGCATAGTCGGCTCTACTGTAACTATACACCGTCCGGGTCAAGCCATTTGTACCGATAATTTGGACCCAACATTACCTTTACTACAGTAAATAGGCAGGTCTGTAGATATTTTTCATAATCCTGGTATTTTAATGTGAGTACCTACACGATGAGAATATTATGACAAAAAACAAAATAGATGTGTAGTTTCTATTTTATGCTCGTCTAATAACTGTTTAATGTTAACAAAAGTAAAGCTGAAGCCTATTTTATTTTGAGAGCAGAAAATTGCTATTAACTACACAAAATATTTGAGTATACATTTATACATAACAATTGAAGGCAGGGACAAAAATATTGAAAGGTTTATTTAAAATATCAGATGAAAATCAATCACAATAGAAGCAACCTTGCAAGTTCTTTGGTTTCACTTAAATTTAAAGACTTTAAGTATTAAATGCTTGGCATTCGGGACTTTAACTTAAAGTATCTTTATCTCGTCTTAAGTCCTGTGGAATGTATATCAGCGGTAGAGCTTCTAGCCGACGTAGACAAATTAGATCAGCCACTTCATTGGTCATTATTTGCGAGTTGTAAAAGGCAGTAGTTATAATCAAACGCTTATGGGTAAGGTCATATTATTATCATAGCATTTCGAATTGTAAAGGTTTTAAAGGATCATATCGCCTGTTAGCATCCATCACCATAATTGCGCCCCTACAATGAAACCTGTAGTGATGTACCTACCGATATTGTTTAGTAACAGTTCCTTTATCTTGACTTACTTGACTTATGGTCCTATGTCCCCTAGATGATATCTTTATGGATGAATAATGTACCACCGATGGTCAGGTCGTGGTGCTGGCAAAACTCTATAAACCGTTCTCCGTTCTCATTACGTGCTCCAAGTCCCTGTGTACCCATATGACGCTCGCATAATTGCGCCCCTACAATGAAACCTGTAGTGATGTACCTACCGATATTGTTTAGTAACAGTTCCTTTATCACTCTACACAATTGTAAAAATCTAACATGGACATTTGAACAAATTCCCTTTTACCATTTTTTGGTGAATGGAGAAGTAAAGACCAGCGATGCTTTAAAAGGCGTACAAGACGCATTGGGAAAATCTCTGGACCCTTGGGTATCTTTTTTATTTAATTAAATTAAACCTGGCTCTTCTATTAAGGCTGTGGCTTGCCGACGAAGAAGTTTTAAAGTCGTCATGCCACTTGTGGTGCGTTATGTAATCACCTAGCTTGGATTCTGTAATACAGCCGACTTGTGTAAAATAGTACAATAGAAACTTTAAATGATTTTATTCTATTTCTTTTTTCTTAACTTAGCATATAATTTTTCTTGTGTACTTTTATGTAGTTTTACACTTGCATTTTACGTAGTTTAAGATGAGATTTTGCTACTAAAATGATAATTATATGAACTTGATGACCTAATTTTTTTGATAGGTCTTTACTTCTTGCGGTTTTTTACCTACCTACAACTTTATATAAGTGACAATTTATTGATTTTACTTACCCAACTTTATGCGTTAGTACATAAACAGAAGCCCTACCATTGAGAAGGCCAATACATAATAATTACCGAACAATATAGTCTGGAAATCGTAATATGAGTCAAATATCGCACGAATTGATACGACCTTGTTTTCAGACGGTTATTATTTCTTTGTCAATCAATTCGGTAATTTTATTCGAAGGTAGATATTTCGGTATAGCAAGCATCAAAACCTTTTTCACGAACAACTCAAAGAATTTAGTCATTCAGCTTTTTTGGCAGGAAAAAAACTATAAATAACTTGAAAAAAGTTTAAAGATGCGACTCTTAACGCTAAAAATTAAATAACTAGGAAAAACACTGTCTAATTCTGTTTATTATTCTGTAATATACAATGGTGATTACCACGGTGACCCACATACTTATTTGCCCGCAAAAGGATACTTGACAAAGTCCCCCTTTATACGATACTCTTCCAATAGGTACCTAACTCCGCAGTTTGTTGCAATCGTTTCATATTTTGACGCTCCAGAGGACCGGCTGAATCGGCACAATTGCGAATATTGGAAAACTCGCCATTTGCATTGTTATACAATAGAATTCCATTCGTGTTCGCAAATAAAATGTTTGATTTACCTCTAGATTTACATCTAGCGCTGTTGTAGCCAGTTTTGAAATTTATGTTAATTTTGTATTTGTCTATTTGAGTGTATTTAACCGCTTTGAACCGCTAGTTTAAAGGAGAATGGGTAATTTTGTATACCTAGTTCAAGTTAAAAATTCAAATATTTTATTCAGTACTAGACCCCTTCCAGGGCACATATACACGTCCCAAATAGGTATAGCTTCCCCTACCACCACTTTGGGACAACATATGGGCTGGTGCTGAGAAAAGTGGCGGAAGAAACTCAGTCACCTTTGTCAGCTTCTTTTTCAATAAAATACAGTAATTTGTAGTTTACATGACACGCAATAACTGCGAGACAATACGTTTGTATTCTGCAGTTTGGCGTGTTACTTTAAAACAAAAGTTCTCAGACTTATTTCAAACAAAGCCAACTGGCCAGTCTAGACAAGTTTATAGACGTATCAGATTAATTATCTACAGTAACAGTTTGTGCTGCAGAGGACAACGGGACTAATGATGTACTTGTGAGAACTTCACTTAGGTACCTAATGTATTTACACTAAACTCGTACAATACTGTACGTACGTACGGTACGCAGCTTAGAGAAACACAAGGTTACTACGGTCGATTTTCCATAACTTATTTAATAATTGCGAGTGAGTGAGAAAAGGTAACCAATTTTGGTGTAAGTATAAGGTAAAAAATTATTTCTTCAAAATCAGTTCAGTAGTTTTTACTTGAGGAATAAAAAAATATCAAATTTTACAAACATTCACGTTAATAATATTATTAAGACTTAGTTTAAACTAAATAGGCTGATGAGATTCTAAAATAATCATTCTAATTACTCAGGCCCTTAGTTAATTGCGTTTACTACGTATCTACCCTATAAAATATTTAACAAGCATTCAAAATTAAATTATAACAACCTCACAATTTACAACACTCCAAATTAAAAAATCTGCATTGCTTTATAATTAAAATCTTTAAAGTAGAGAATAAAAAGTTTCAAAAATTATTACGCAAGTTTCAATGGTATTTTTAATTAAATTAAAATTCTCCCTTCATGTTAGATGACATGACGAGCACTTTCCAATTGAAAGTGTAGAATTTAGGAAAACCTATACAGCGGGTCCTGACGAAAAAATTTCCAAGTTAAATTGGTTTTCAGTCCAGGCCCTTTGTGTGACCTGCGTATTGTGCCTGGACAAAGCATACATAGGAGTTTTTTTAACATGTCTGATGTTCCAAACGAAAACTCTGTCAAAGTGTGTCAAGAAAAGATAAAATAAAGACCGTATTCTCATAGAAGATGATATCAATCTACTCGAATTGCAACTACAATTACTACTAAGCTGTTGTAAAAACTTGTGTAGGATGAGTTGCCTTGCCCGTTTTACAAGGCATTACTGCATTATAGACTTTATTGTGCTTTACTCATTTCGGTCGAAAATTACTTACGTAATGATTTAATACTTATATTATTTCATCTGGGATTCTCTTATTTATCAAGGTGACATTGTTGAAACCAGACACAGTAGACACAAAGAGAAGATTTGAGTTTATTGCAGATTGCCTCTGGGCTTACAAAAACGAACCAAAAAGTCTGATTTCAAATCCAAATTTGCATATCAACAAAGAGATCGACGTTCATTTTATTGAAAGTCTCATAAAATATACAGATTGCGCTCTCAATCTAGAGTAAATCTATACAACAGATAACTTTATCAAAGAGCGAGTCACGTTTGGTTAAAACGAGCCCTTTGTCTAAAGCGTCTGCTCACTTGAAGTTATAAAAATACCCTCAACCAAGAGCACCCTAGATCTAAAATTAACATCCCTAAAGTGATCTCTTAATGAGCCGCAGTATTAAGTGTACTCGAAGGGGGTACCGTTGAAAAATAGCGTCTGTTGTTTGGTCGTTAAAGTGCTTTTTTGTTGCAGTTCCCCGCACGGTCCTGAAGGAGAGATACGAAAGTGCTCCAGAGGAGGACGAGGTCGCCCATGACGTGTCTGATATTGAACACGAAGATGTCGGTGAGTTTTTTCTGCTAAGTAAGGAAGTCTGGCGGCTAAGTGGTTTGGATCGGCCATGTTTTTTTGCTTGAGTTTTTAATGATCGCGCTAGAACCGTTAGGAATTGAATTTATATTTTTCAATGTAAAGCTGAGTTTTACATTTAAAAATATAAAACAACTCTTTCTTGTGAAAGATGAATCTTTACAGTTTCGGTGAACATAATGAAGACTATCCTAAATACCTAATAGTGAACACTGAAAAGTGTTGTATTTGAGTTTATGTCATTTATTTAATGACACCGGCAGATCTTGCGCCGTCTTAGCACATGTCATTTTTAATTAAAAAAAATTATATGTCGCTGTAAAGGAATGGTTTGTTAATTAATTCCTCACATTCGAAGTGATACTTTCAAAAGACTTATGTTGCCGTGTATTAAATAGCTGTTTCGAATAAATCACCAAAGTCGTGATTTCAGTTACCTTACCTAAACGATAGAAGACACCAAGTTTCTGATGAGCTAAAACAAGTTCTGTTAACGACCAAACTAACAACTATAGACAGCAATTTACTAAAAGTAACAAGTCAAATTTATGGAAGCTGCGATGTTTAAGGCGATTAGAGTCCTCAATGACCTTGGGCGTTTGACCTTCACGCCGCGAGCAACACCCGCGTACCCCGCACCAAAAACTCCGATTTCACACCGATCAAAAATACACGGGCATAGGTAGATACAGAATAGAAGCTCTTTCTTCATACATTACTGCCTATTATTTTAAACTTAAATTGATGAACCTTGATGTCGGTGTCATTTAACTCAGGCGTAAAGGTATTTAATAAAAATAACAAAATCCATGAACATTTTGTACGGGATAAAATTTTATTTTATTTTTCGTAAATTTTCTAATGCTTTTGTCGGTTCAGTCGTTCTCGAAATTTGAACAAACCCGACTTTATTACAAGCTTTTATTTAGCTTGCAATTTATGATGTATGTAGGTAATTACATAAATGTTTGTTCGGGAGGAATCTTGCAAGCTGAATTAGTTAGACCAACTTCCTGACGACAACTAGGCTAGATGACAAAATTTCAATTATTTGTCCGCCAGACAGATAATTAGAAAATATTAGTTATTATTTATTTTCTTTCATAATTAAATAATAACAGTGCTACATCGAGTTGAAATGGCGCGATACGCCACGCTTGAGTAGAATTTTTACTCAAATGTGACGTTTTTAAATTAACATAGCCGTTTTGGAGGAGTAGGGAATTTAAGTAAAAAATCGATGTCCCGTATTTATTTTTTTAATCCAAAACAAAGAGACGTAGCAAAAATTCAAACGTCACAAATGCAGTCCTTGAACTGTTGTATAACATATATTTTTTTCAACTATTTCTGTCCAGCAGTAAAAGAGGAGTAGGCTTTACAAAATGCCCATTTAGCGCGGATTGAGGACACTAATCGCCTTAAGAACAACGATTTCGTTCATTAGTTCGGGCTAAGGTAAATGTTTCTTGGTAAATAGTGTTTTTGTAGTTACTGGAACTACTAAACAAAACAACTAGTAATTTATAGGCAATGTAAGATATTTATCTATCTCCATTGCTAAATGAATTGCGTATAAATTTATGATATAGAGTGATTAGATAAGTTTATATTATATCTATATATATAAAAATGAAACCCGTTTCGCGTTGTCACGGCATCACGTGTGAACGGCTGAACCGATTTCGATAATTCTTTTTTTTAAATGTTTGTGGAAGTCCAAGGATGGTTCTTACGGAAAAAAATATTAAGAAAATCTCTACGCTAAGGCGGTACGAAGTTCGCCGGGTCAGCTAGTTTAATATAAAAATGGAGGAGTAACACTAAAAAAGTAAAAAACTGAAATTAGAGCAGTAAGCCTTCCCGTAAACGTTTACACATAGGTACCTAGTTCTTGCAAAATATTAAATTCGCCATCAAAACGAAAAGAAGACCCAGAACTTTTAATTTTGTAGAACAATTTTCACAAAATATTTCCTACAGGACTCGATTTTATTAAAAACACATGAAAATGTATAAATGTATAAGAGTAATTAGCATTGAAAATTAAGTCGAATAAACACGATAAAACGTTCCCCTGAGCAAATTACCGGGTCTACATCCGTACGCTAAAAATAGCTCGTTCCAAACAAGCTCCCGGCTAAGCAGAGACAGGATTTACTCCAATAACATCTTATAGAACGGAATCAAAATTATCTCGAAGACAGTTTATCATCCTGCAATACGTCTCGAGGAGCGAAATTTGCTTAATCCCATCTTAATTTGGCCCAAGCAATCTAGAAGGATTTGTTTCGGGCGTGTCAGGGAGTTCTTTGCTTTGTCAGTGTAAAAAGGGATTACGGGGACTCCCCCAAGTAAAAACAGTTCGTGACGAACCATCTCATTCGGATAGTTAAATTTTATACGTTTTTCAGTGGAATATTTGGTGCTCATTGCTGAAATGCAGTTCCGTTTTATGTCGGACTACTCGTTAGTTGCTGCAAAGTTTGTGGAGTAATATTTCTCTGTGGTTCTTCATGTAGACATATTAATTAAACTTAAGTATCTTTAGAAAAACTTATGAACGTGAAGTTGAAAAAAGCATCATATTTTTATGTTAAAATATAACCAGTGGGTCACAAAATTTTATGTTTAAAAACTGTAGGTACTTATCTCCGTGTGTTTGTAGCCGCAGCAAACTGTAATTTAAAATTGAAACTGCAAATGAGTAAACTCCATACAAATCTTAACCGCATTTGAACGAAATCCGCCTTATCATTACATTTTACTATGAAATACGTGAAATTATTAAGTGTAATACAGTGATATTTCCGTTCGATCATAAATTAGCCTTGAGCTTTCTACGAAACGTGCATGGAAACTAAGGATTCTGATCAACTCAACTGATCTAGTGGAAAACAAACACTTAGATACCTGGCACACATTCCTCGCATGCCTCTAACGCACACAACTAAGCTCACTCCGAGCTCGCCATTGCTTTGTCAACAAAGATCTCGTCCCACAAGCCATTCTGTACCTGAGCCTTGTTGAATAAAGCTGGGACAATGAATTAATCTTGTCCAGTGTTTAATTTGTACCTCCTTGTGGGTTGTTACAACTAATGTGAGGGCTCTGACGTCAGATTTTATGAGACGATTGTGTGACGAGGAAAATTCGGATGGTAGCTTAACATCAAGATCATCTCGAACTATGAATGAATTATTTCTAAGGATGGTAGGCTTAACATCAAGATCACCTCAAAAAATGAAACAATTACCTATTTCTTTTCAGGTAATCATGCTATACATGTCTAAGATGTTCTAATCAAGTTTTAACATACTTTTTAAACCAAGATTTTTCCCAATTTGATGTGGAAAAACGTAGAATCTCCGGATCGATATCTTTAACCTAAAGACAACTACAATAAAACTAAACTGACAAAATCCAGGCCGCTACCAACCGGTCATTAAGGAAATCATTGGGAGAGGCCTATGTTCAGCAGTGGACGTCATGTTGATGACCATGAAATAGTCCATTGACAACAATCAATAAAATTATCAGAGATTACTCAACTGTTGGGAATCGTTGAAAAATATACCGCCAATCTACTTTCACAGTATTATCTGAATCTTGTTTTATTTTCACGCAAGGTATCGGTGTGAACGCACCCTTATGCTTTGATTATAGTATCTTTGTATAGCGATGTGTATAGTTTTGTTTGTTTGAATAGCATCAATATTCCGGATTGTTCAGGCAATGGCCCCGAAACTAATAGGCCGATATCCCATTGTCTGTCTTTAGGTATACAATGATAATGTACACATTCATCTTTTATTTAAGAGTAATATGAGCCCTTGTTTGCAATGATACATAGCTTACTTACTTACTAGACTGAAGTAGGTACTGTCCAGAAAGAAGAAAGCTATACATTGAAAGTATTTTAATCCCGAGATAAGTATATTTGTGTTAGTTATTGCTAGAATTAAATATGTCAAACATAATATTTTTTTAATTACAGAAATAGAGTCAGTGGACATTTACGACGATGAACAAAAAATGGTTAAAAACAATTTGTGGAAACTTTCCATTACAATCGCTTGTTTTTAAGATATATTTTTATTAGTTATTATAAAAGTAAGTCAACTAAATCGCTGTTTGTACTTATAAGTAGAAGATTTAGGTGTTCACAAACTACCGCGATTCATTGTCTCAGTACCACTAATCAAGACAATTATGATTGTTCAAATTTGTACAAAGATCCAACGATTCCCAGACAAACCTGAGAGGATATATTCATGTATTTTGCGATTACTAGCGTTTAGAGACAAACACGGGTGAATCCTTCGTCCGTGTCCGTTCATATTTCGACTCCATTATGTACCTTTGTTTGAGGCAACGACCTCTGATCGCAAATCAGAACCTTTGTGATATTTTGAGAGTTCTTTTGAGAATTATTCATGCAAATATGATATTCATTCATTGTTTACGCTTCCGCAGTCGATTGATTAGAGGGTGGGCTTGTCTCGGATCAGAAGTTGTTGGCTCCATTCCCATAGAGAGAGGAAACTCATAGTGTTTTTATTCCTAGTTTATTTAAGATATGCTTACTGTAGAGGGCACCAGTGTGCTTATCATGAGTTTACGTTATGTGTGTTCGCTATCGAGTACGTCAAAAAAATCGATGAAGATTATTTTTATTGAAAGTAGCCGCCAGAGGCAGTCGCTAGCGAGCACACCTAACGTAAACTCATGGTACGCATATAGGTAGATCGATTTAACAATATCAGACGCTTTTATAAATTCTGACACCAGGAGTCCGACCTTAGATAAGATTACTTCAATCAATATAATAGAAGATATTTCACTCCGTGTGAAGAGAAACAAATTTCCAAAGAAAAATATTTCTTACATCTTTTTTATTGCCTTCTTTGTTAAATCAAATCAATAGGTAGATAAGTAATTCAAGTAACTCACAAATAAATGCCTACTTGTATAAGTTTTCAATAGATTGTGCTATTCATTCTCCCTAAAGGCTTAGTTTGCTACAAATGTAGGTACTTCGTTTCTGCTGACTGCCTTCAATTTAATTCTTAAACAAGTTCGTGTTTCGCTGTGGTTGTCAAAGACTTGCTATAATGTATACAGGTTTACAGAAGTCTCAATTATTGCTAAAATGCTGACTAGCTTTGGCCCACGGCTTCGCCCGCGTGAATCTTTATCACGTGCGTCCATGTTTCAAAAATCGGGATAAAAACTATCTCATCCTTTCCCGACAGTCAAAGTATCTCTTTTTTAAAATGTAACTTAGACTTAAGTTAATGGCTAAAAGTTTTTATTATCAAAATTAGATTTAGCTAGAACTTAATATTTTTTAAGTTAGGTGAGCCATTGTGGAAGGAACCTACTGTTTAATACCCCATATTGTACACCCTGTTCCGATATTATTAAAACTGAAAGAATCCGCAGACAATCAGAGCGTGCTTTTCTTTCAAGTGACACTTTTTAATTGAAAGTTTTGTTTCTCTCGCATTTTCCATTTATTTTCTTTTTAATATCATTGTAAAGACCTCTCTCAAAGACCAATTTGTTTCTTTACAAACCATTGAGTAACAGGAATTCTGGTTAAAAACAATTGACCCGAACTTGTACAAATTGGATATTGTAGGGCGTCCTGAAACAAATAAGTTGTCGAATTTTGGACTACAATTACAATACAATAAGAATACATTTAACCTGTAAACTTTTATGAAACAAAGCTATAGCTTAGAAGTAGAACCAATCTATTTAATGGATCAGAAATGAACCTTTTCAATGTGATTAATTTGTAGTCTTTTTCTTCGAATTCATTTTGCCTTGCACAAAATTATAATGACAGGCTTAAAATGAACAGTTGTAGGCGTTTAGACATAGTTTGATAGGTCAATCGACCATTGACCTTTCTTTAATCTTTATTATCTGAGAAGTTTTTCATAAAAAAAATAACGCTTCGATCATTAGATCACAGAGTATTTTACTACCACGCGTTAACTTTGGACGTTTCATCCTTTTATGGGTGAATTTTAAATCCTTTGTTAGCGGATGCCTCGTAATAACTATCATCATCATCATTATCATCATCTCAGCCATAGGACGTCCGCTGCTGAACATAGGCCTCCCCGAATGCTTTCCATGTTGCCCGGTTGGTAGCGGCCTGCATCCAGCGCCTTTCTACTACCTTTATGATGTCGTCGGTCTGCCTTGTAGGTGGACGTCCTCTAAGCACACGACGAAATCTTAGCACAATTCATTCAGTGGTTTGATCTGTATCAATATACCAGTCAGTAAAGGTTGCCTTTTTTATACCTAATAGTACGACTTGAGATTATATTAATGCCTTTTTTTCAGATGATTCCGGTGACCGGTGGTGGGTGGAGTCAGCAGTGCCTCCAGCCCCGGCGGTAGCAGCTGTGCCTCCTCAGAGACCTTCGATGTCCACCAGCATCAACGCCACAAGCATCATCAGAAACTCCCCTTCAGCATCACCACCAAGACACCACCTCTCGAAAGATGGTAACAATCTTTGACATGATGCACTTACACCCGTATTCACAAACGATGCTTGCTTAAGTGAAGCAGCAAATCGAACTCACAGCGTTGAATAGAGCTCTGTGATTGGTTCGTGTGTCACCCAGTGCGTCCACATTGTGAGACCTCATAGTAATGTTTGTGAATACGGGCGTTATTGTCCATTAAAATTCAATACATCTATCAATGACATTTAGCTTATAACGGTTGAAAAACTAATTCTAGGTTCGAAATCCATAGCGTGAATAAGTGAGGACTATAAAAAATTCAATTGAATTCATTGACGTCCGAGAAAAGTGGCTAATTAGCCAGCTATTTGATTGGTATATTTAATTATTTTAAAGTAAACGGGATCAAAGTTCTTCCAACAAGGGCGGATTAAAATTAGTCATACATTGTAACTGTAAATTCAACATGACCAAGCTCGGTTAATTGTCCTCCAATTAATGCTGAATTTAGCAAGAATTCTTGATTATTTTGAGATGAAAGGGTAGATTAACTAGAAGTTGAGCTGTGAATACAAATATGTAAACAGTCTGACTTTTTGTTTTAAAATAAAGGCTTAAACAAAGGCTGATGAACTTTATATTAATTACTGTACCATTTTCTAAGTCAATCTGTATTAAGTCTATCCGCTCCAATTTTAACTTTCCGTCCTTCATTCACTTCAAAGTCATTAGGCTTACAGATACCAAATGAGATACTCGAAATCTCCTTTACGAAGGCATCAAGAATACTTAGTAAAAATAAAGTCGAAGTATCTTTCGATAATCACTTTGGAGTACTCAGGCGTATTATTCTTTCAACTTATTTCCAGGGTATATTAAAAATAAAGACTTCTTCCGCAGAACCGTTCGACATGATGTATGTCTACATCATAGCAGCTGTTGCCGTCTCGCTCCTCCTCTGCAGTATGGTAGGTGTAGTCCGATGTCTGGTACACAGGAGAAGCACAGAACAGCCTAAAGGCCCTGACGTCTCAGCCACCACAGAAATCCCCAACGGATTCAACGACAGCATATCAGAAGTTGACAATGACATCAACATCACCAGCTTATCAGGTCCAGTCGACACAGTAGACTCAGGCCTCAAACCTGAGATGCAGTTCACAAACGTCGCTCTCAGTCCTAAGATCAACCGATACGTCGGCAGACCAGTCCCCAACACGTACCCACATGTCAGTACCAACATGTACGGACAGGTCGCCGAATACCCTATAGAAATGCCACTCCGAACCATGCCCCATGGGACGTTGGGACGTGGAGTTGCCGTCAAAACCCTACCTAGAGTGCAAGTGCAAAACGAAACCGACCCTAACACCCGGAGTTTATATCGATATTCGAACGCGCAGTACTACTTCGGGTGACAGCAAGACAATGCCCAGTGTTCGGACGTATCGAGGACTTACTGTTTCTAGTTCAGTCGTAGTGAAGTGTAAATAGACTAGACGTTTGTAATGTCCTACTTTTAATACGGAAACTGTGATATTAATTGAAACTTTCCTATTAACGGGCCGTTCGTGAAATATGGACACGGGAGGCGGTGCTACAGGCCGTGAATCAGTTACGTCTTGTCGTTAGTGAGGGGAAAACTCGAGTTTTCTTAATTAATTCCTTGACTTTAATCTTAATTTTGAGTTAAGAAGTCGCATTTTTAAAATAAGAGAATAGGGGAGAGGGGGGCATAGTGGAAGGGGTGGGCAAAGCGAAAAATTTGATTTTACCAACACTCTTTCATCCAACGGCACTCGTGCTTCACGTAAGCCAAGCACAGGGCCGACCAAGGTCATTGACCAAAATCAGTTCGGCTAGCGCCACCGAGCAGGCTACATGACTGCGCGATGTAGATCGAGTGAGTTTCTTACGAAATTCAAGGATTTTGGAGGCTGGATATTATTGTGAAAAGTGAGTAGTGATGGTATTTTTATTATTTAAATCTAATATCTGTTTATCATAGATTCCTTTGACATTTTGTAGATTAAACAAATTTTAATACTTTCTTAGTTATCAATTGAAAACTGTAATTATTATCAAAAAGGCAAAGTGGAAAAAATTACAAGGGGGCAAAGTGGAATGATTCCCACATAGAAATATTTAATTTGTTTTTTTCAGATGGTTCATTATTATTACAAAAGAAAAACGAACCAAGGCTTATGGACAGAAGATCAAATGAGAAGAGCGATGGAGGAAGCGAGTCTTAGTACGATTAGTTCGGTAGAAAAAAATATGGTATCCTATTTGGAACTCTTCATCGTCATTTGAAATCTGGTGATGCATCGAAGAAGATTGATAAGTTTCGTCCGGTATTTTTCAATAAAACTGAAGCAAAAAATATATGACCTTGCAGTAGTAAGGGACAAGGTTTTTTATGACCTAAAACAGTTCCTAATTACCAAATAAGTTGTATATGTTATTTCATTTAATTGACCTCATTAGCAAAATGCTCAAATAGAGTAGATAAACGCTTAATAAGTGCCTTTTTCACTTTGCCCAAAGTGCAATTCCACTTTACCCTTGTGATAAGGGCAAAGCGGAAAATTATAAACTATAAAAAAAAAGTTATTTTATGCCAAAATAGTTAATAATTCGTTAATTTTTTTTTTGAGTTATCTATAATACAATACTTGTAGTATCATTTTGACTAAAACTAGTCTTCATAACTTATCTGGTTCTTTTTATTTTTTCGATTGAAATTAAGTACTCCACTATGCCCCCCCTTCCCCTACCAATTCGAATACGGCTTATTATAAATGTGTGCAATTTCGTATGCGAATCGCAGTTCGAATACTTCAAAAACACATAATATTCAAGTCTTTTATGACTGACAAATGACATCTTTTTTTCGTTTAATTTCATCTGACAATTTGAGACTCATTTCAGTAATTCAGTGAACATAAAACTGTTTATCGATAATGGCATAAATACTCGAGTGCGTCCCAACACTACTTGTCGACCTTTGTCTAGAAGTTACACCTCTAATGACCGTAGTTAAAAAAGTTCTCCGGGAAGTTGAATCGGGGTATATTCTCCTTTTGTGAAGTAAAAACTGCGGGTAGTCGGAAGTTAGCGTTTCGACTCCAATTTTAAATGGTATTTTACGTTAACCTCTTCACTCTCGTTAGCTTTTCATTAAATATATTTCATTGTTGGTTTGTTATTAAATAACAGATTGTTAAATTATTTCAAAACCCTTTTGTGTAAGTAAAATTACGTAAGTTGACGTTATATTGTGTAAAATGAAAGTTACGTTACTTAAAATTAACGTTAGATTTTCTTAAATGATTTGAAAAGCGACTTCTTGTGTCCATGGTTTCAAAATACTATAAGAGTTGAGATGTTGTGAAAATAATTTATGATTGGTTAAAATTTAGTGTTATAGTTTTAACTAAGTTTAATAGTGGTTTTATGCAAACGTGTTGTATGAATAAAAAAGACGGCAATAAGTTTGTCTGAAACCAAAACAATTATTACTAAAGATGCCTAAATTTTAAATTGTTTGATAACGATAGCGAATTTAAATAGGTTTAAGTTGGTTTTTATAAAACTGTAAAATTCTGTTTATAAAGCATTTGTTTAGAATCATTTTACAAATATGACGGCATGTTTGAACATAATAATAAAATGTTTTCTAAATGACTGACTATATGCCTATCCAAATCACGTTAGTTGGTATTTTTAAGTATGAAAATAATCTGTGTACAGATAAATTTTTATGTGGTACATTGATTTAATAAAGTTAATGCACAAAATGTCTATGTATTTATTATTTTAGGCTCAATTTTCATCCGCCGAAGATTGTGACAAGTGAAAAGAGATATCTCTCTCTCTTTCATTAAATGAGTAAGGGTTGAATCTACAGCTCTAAGAGAAGCGCTAACCAATCGAGAATCCACTAAATCTAGAGGTACTACAAAGACTAAAGCTGTGTGCAATACCTTTACATTAGTCTAGCTGTTGAACCACTGCTGTACATAAGCTCTGAAAATTCCATCGAATCAAACAAAACTAAACGGAAATTATTTATAATTCCCATAAAATACACCACAGTGCATTTCCAGCGATTCCAACTGTTTTTTTTCTCTAAACAGAAGAGGCATTGGGCACCAGCAATCAAGTTATCAAACTATAGCGCTGCGCACATAAAACACGGACGCAATGCGACAGACGGTAATTTCGATTGTATTTTTTATAGTTGCGGCACATTTGGACGATTTTATGTGCTGAATGCGCTTGGAAGAAACAAAAGACTGCAAAAAAATATGGCAACATTTTTTGGAATATTTCCACTTTCACAACAACTTGACTTCAAACAAAAAAAAGCTTGTAAAGTCGATCTGAGTCTTCCAGTGACTTGGCCCACTTTTAGCTTGGTCTACGGGCCAAGTCGCTGGATTTAATTTTAAATAAGTATTTTTTCTTCCAGCAACTGGGGCAATGGGCCCACTCTAAGGCTGAGTTGCACCACCTAACTTTGACCGTAACTATAACGATAACGGGTATTTTAGTATTGGGAGTACGGGAGTTTGTCAGATTTTTGATAAAAATATTGAATCCAAGTCATTGGCAGACTCGATCAGACTACATAGTTCAAAATATTATTAAAGTTTTTTCTTCTTCTTTAGGGCTCTCATGAATTGCGTTCAGCCACGACAGAGTTACATATACAGGGTGGAAACGATAAGTGATCTCACTCGATTATTTCTAAACTATACAAGATTTCAAAAAACTGGTTACTGATCCTGAAAGTCCTTCACAAGCTCTATCCAACGGTACCAATAATAGGTTACAGAATTAACTGAATCTATCCGAAAATTCAATGTTTCCAGCTTCCACACATTTAATAAAACCACTTAATGAAAGCTGAAAACATCGAATTTTCGGATATATCCAGTTTATTTTGTAACTTATTATTGATACCGTTGGATAGAGCTCGTGAAGCACTTTCAGGTTCCGTAGCCAGTTTTTGGATATCTTGTATAGTTTTTAATATTATGTGGTTTTATTAAATGTGTGGAAGCTGGAAACATTGAATTTTCGGATAGATCCAATTTATTTTGTAACCTATTATTGGTACCGTTGGATAGAGCTCGTGAAGGACTTTCAGGATCAGTAACCAGTTTTTGGATATCTTGTATATGTAGTTTAGAAATAATCGAGTGAGATCACTTATCGTTTCCACCCTGTAGATGTACGGCGTACCGTCATTGGTACAATTGTTAAATAGAGATGAAAACCAGTTCTTATAATCCTATATCTGTCTTTTTAATTTCTTTCCAATAACTACGTCCTTTTCTTTGGATAAGTTAAGTTTGAGTTCATGACAATAACACTTGACGCCGAGGAGATTCGATCCTACAACAATACCTGGAATTCTAGGTCCGAACCATTTAGCTAAGCAATTTACACCTTTGTAGGTAAACACTGGAACTATTAGCTTGATTAATTCCGAGAATGTAGAATACGTATTATTCGAGATGCTGTGACGTCTCAATATACTGACGGAAGCGGAGCCACGGGTGAAGGTATGTATTCGCAAGTACACGAAATACTGTCGTATATGAAATATATGAAATACCAGGGATCTCGAATGCCGACAGCAGGTAGCTCGCATTTCACAGAATACATTAGGTATTTTCTTCTCAGCCCTATACAGGTTGTCCCAAAAATGTCCCTAGCAAAAGCCCTAGAGGTAGGTCACAGCCAAATCACTCCGATTTAGTATGTATTGTACCTAAGTGATTCTTTCCACATGTAATTTAAGATCGCCAATGCGCCAAGCATTCATCATCATCATCATTTCAGCCATAGGACGTCCACTGCTGAAAATAGGCCTCCCCCAATGACTTCCACATCGCATGGTTGGTAGCGGCCTGCATCCAGTGCCTTCCTGCTACCTTTATCAGATTGTCGGTCCACCTTGTGGGTGGACGTCCCACGCTGCGGTTTCCGGTACCTACGCGGCCTCCATTCCAGAACCTTGCTGCCCCATCGGCCGTCAGATTACCAAGCATTAGCATTAGTTTGTAGGTTACAAATGAAACTTTCATGTTAAAAAAAAGTTCTTATTATTTATTATCTCAGTAACTAAACTCTTGATTAGAAGAAACCTTCATGAGAAAACTAAAAAAAAAAGAAACAAGTTTTGAGACACCCTGTATGTTCATAATAATAAAAAGCGCAAAGAACACGAGATTCTAATAAACAGATATGGACGGAGATACGAAAAACCTTTCCGACCGAGTTCCGGCAGCTAATTATTCTCATTAATTATTGTCCGTATTAAGCATAGGAACACATACCATCCATCATAAGTCCGTACAGTTTCCCAAAATATAAGCAAGAGCTGATTTTGCTCGGAAAAATGACATATTTTCAACGTTCTGTAAAGTAACGGAAAATCCTAAACTTTGAAACCTTCTACTCAGAACTCGATTAAAACTTTAGCTCATAGTGGTACTACATACTTCTGATACTTCTTATGTGTTACTAAAAAGGATGTGTTGAACTGAGATTATTAATATTCAGTAGGTACATAGTGGTTTTGATGAGTAAACTTTTTTTTTATGTTGTTTATAACTTTTTGCTTAAAAGAGCACTGTGACAATGGTGAAAAGTTGGAAAATTGAAAGAAAAAATTAAAGGTGTTGGGCTCCTTCAGTAATCT